GCTTGGACTAGGACAGGGAGAGGTGGGCAGCTTCTGGGAGTGTTTTGAATAAAGTCGACCAGATTCCCTGATTGGTTGGGTGTGGGGTAGAGGAAGGGAGAAGGCAAGGAGGGGTGTCAGGTTTGGGCCTGAGCAGCGGGCAGGCGGAATTGCCACTAAGATGGGCACGGTTGTGAGTGGGACAGGTTGGGGAGAGCTGGGTAGGTCCACGTGTTTGGTACACCTGGGAAGCCTTGATCAGGCAGTTGCATATTCGCGTCTGGGGTCCCAGGTGCACATGTTGGAGTCCCCAGTGTCTTGTCTAGAATCTAGGTCTAGATGACAGTGAAAACGTGGGACAGGATGAGATGACCCAGGGAGTCAGTGCTCATTGCCCAACCAGGCACCTGCTATGTACCGGCCCTAGGGGAGGAGGCAGATACAAACCTGCTTATAATCTGGTGCCTGTGCCCTGGTTTACACTGTCAAAGCCAATCATGTCTTGGCGAGCAGAGGAGGCTCACAAGGGTGGGCTGAGGAGCTAGAGGTACCAGAGCAGGCTTCGGGAGAGCGGAAGGCGGGGGGCGGGCTTGTCCTGGCCCTGGATGGACAAGTGGAACGCAGCTAGGCTGGCAGAGGGGAGGGCACTCCAGGCAGGGGAGGAGAAGGGTGACAGTGCTGAGGCAAGAGTGAGGCAGGCAGTGGCTGACTGTGGTGAAATGGGCTAGGTGGTAGGAGAGCTGGGATTTTGGAGTGTGTGTCCCAGTTTGGAGCTGTGTCCTGGGCTAGTTACTTAACCTTGCCGAACCTCATCTGCAAAATGGGATGTCTCTCTTCCTTCATGGTGTTGCTGGAAGAGCAGATTAGCATCTAATAATCAGATCTGGGTGTGATATGCTCAGCCCGGCATGTGGCATGTAGTGGGCCCTGGACGCACCTGGGGAGGCTCACCAGCCCTGCCTCAGTGGGCCTCTCCCAGGTGGCCCAACGAAGAGTGGAGCTTCAAGAGAGCCACTGCTGGCCATGCTGGGCCTGCACTGATGCCGGCCAGACCACAGGTCTGAGAGGCCTGAAATGCCCAGCACCCTGGCCACCTTTCCCAGGCCCCTTCTATTTTAGGGCTCAGTCCCAGTGGACGAGGAGGCCTTGCCCACCGCACCACAGCTAATGACAGCCTGTCCTGCCAAGCCATTTAAAAACGGCGGCACTATTTTTATCGGTAGGAGGTAGCTGGCCTGTCTTTCTCCCCAGACAGTGCCAACATGGGTGATTTTAAGGAAACCAGGGCCTCGATAGGAAGATAGGTCATTGTCTCAAATCACAGACTTTGATCGGGCAGGCTGTGCCCACGGAACCTTCTGGGGAGTGTGAGGCGTTACCTTTACCCAGTCAGTGGTCTGAATTTGGAGATAATTCTACCTTACCTTGCCAGTAGGGCTCAGAAGGAATCACTTAGCCTCTCCACCCTGAATATTGCTCAGACCCAATCCTCACTGGTGTCTCTGGGGCAGCAGGCCTCTGGCCTCATAGGAGCAGGGGCACGCAGAGGACAGGGCTGGAGTGGCTGTGTCCACAGGCCCAGCCCCAGCAGAGGGCTTTGTATGCCCTCAAGACATTCCTCCTAAGCCCTTTAATTGAAAGTAGTTTAAAGTGGCTCTTGCCTGGTGGGCCTGTGGGTGATTTCCTTTCCTTCTTTCTAAGAAAATGGTTTTAAATGGGCTCCAGGCCTTTGGATGGAGATGGGGAGCAGCATAAGGGATGGGATGGTGAATACCTAGCCCTGTGAAGCATGAAACACCCACCCATAGGGATACCAGAGCTGCACTGTATTGGCCACAGTTTGTATTAGGTAAAAGCTTTTTTTTGGGTTCAATTCTAAACAAAATTGCATGTACTCATTTTGAGCACTTAGTTGATTGATCATTAAAACAATAGGCATCCTGTCCCTCCGCTGACCCCCCCAGGTCGTCTTCCTGCAGCAGCTATGGGGCCATTCCCAGCCTCAAATTCAGCAGAAGCCTTCACTAGCCCCTTTGCCTGCAGGATCAGGGCTTGGCTTGTCCTCTGGGTATTGCCTCCACCATCACCCCTTCCCCTGCTGCTATAAGCTCCTCCCGCTCTGTCCACCTCAGAGACATCTCATTCTTTAATCCCTGTCCTCCCCACCCTTAGGGCACCTTTCTATCTCCCTTCCTCCTAACCCACCTCAAATATCACCTCTTTGATACCCTCCTCAATTCAGCTACCCACCCTACCTTGATCCCATGACCCGGCTGCTCTGGGTGCTTTGTGTCTGTCTTCTACCCCCCCACCCCCGCCCCCCACCAACCACCACCCTCACCGGCATCTCTGGGGCAGGGCCTGTGCATGTGTATCATAGCCCTCTCTCCTGTTGCATGAATGAATGGATGGACTTGTGTGGCTCTTCATAGTTTCCAGGTGCTTCCTCATACCTTACTGAGCAACCCTACTTCCAGAAATTGGGAGGGGAGGCTGAGAGTTCAAGTGGCAGAACCAGTACCGGAACCCAGCTCATGTCTCCAAGGGAGTCAGAGCACTGGCTTTGGGCCCCTGGGCCCTCCTGGGCGCTGTCCCTGTCTACCCTCCACCCTTGCACCATTCCCAAGCCCCCAGAGCTCCTCATGCATGGTGTGGGTGTCCTGGGCATGCAAGATATTGTCCACTCATGCAACCCCAGGAGCAAACACGGCAGAGGTGACAAAGGCTGAGTTATCTGAGGCAGAAGTTGGGGTGGGGTGGACCACAGGCCCCCAGAGCAGGCCCACTGTAGGTTCCGGTTTGTGGGATTGTGGCCGTGTCATGTCTGGGGCAGATGGGGGCCCACCTGAGAGTCTTTCCCACAGAGACCAGAGGCCAACATTGTGTGCCTGCAAGGAAAGGCCTCCAGCTGGGGCCCAGCTATTGGGAGACTGCCCTTCCTGGTTCCTGGAGGGCCCAAGCTGGCTGTGCCCTCCTATAGATGTTCCTGGGGCCTGAGGGAACGGCCCCTATGCCACTTCCTCTTCCTGGAGCAGACAGCTGCTGTGGGCTCTGGGTGGAGGCCTGGGAATATGGGTACAAGGTGAGGTATGGTGTTCTCTTTTGGGTGGGCAGCACATCTGCGGTGGGTACAGGAGCACAGTCAGGTAGGGGGCCGAGAGACCCTGCAGGGGAGAGCTGGCTCTGTCTGTCCTGGGCCTTGTCCCCAGCCTGCCTCTGACCCTTACACTAAGGAGAACCTTGAGGGGACCCCCTTGAGTCCCCTTCCTCCTGAGCATTCATTTCCCATGAGTCTTCTGTTAACAGGTCACTCCTACCCCTAAACCTTCTGTGGCTTCCCAGCACTAGGGCCACAGTGCTCAGCCATGGCTACAGAGATTCATCCAGAAGCTTTTCCCAGTCCCGATGCCTAGGCCCACCCTTCGGAGAGTCTCATATGATTGGTCAGGGTGGGGCCCAGGCATCTGCACGTCAGGGTTGAGAAACTGGCCTAGAAGGTCGACTTCCAAGGTGTCAGGGCAGCCTCCATCACGGTGCCAGCCCAGGTCCCCCTTCTTGTCCCTTCACAGCCTCGTGCCAGCCAACCCAGCCCCTTTCTGGTCCCCACCTGCTGGGCACCATCCTCACTCTGCCACCCCATCGGTGCTCTCTCTTCCATCCAGATCCAGCCAGGCCCTCAGCCCAGCTGAACCCCGTACTCTCTGGGAACCCTTTAATTGCTTGGCTGCCCCTGCTGTCCCTTCCCTGAGCTGTTGCATCTCTTGCTGATCCTCAGTCTTGGTGGCCTTCCTGTGATCTGTCCTCAGCCTTGGAGCGGGAGAGAGCTGGGGTCTGAGCAGCACAGGCACGCCCTTCTGCCTCTAATCCTGAGCCATTTGAGAAACAGGCAAAACAAACTCAGGGACCAGTCAGGGTCGGAGGCCAAGCTGGGGTTTCTCCCCATTCCCAGGCAGACACAAACTCATCCTTAGGAGTAGCCGGAGGCCACAGAGCCCAGACTGAGGGAGGGGAGAGGGTCCAAGCTGTACCCAAAAGCCTGAGCGCTCAGCTTTGCTGACCACTGCTGCCGCCCTCTTCCCAGGCCATTGAGGAGAGACCTCATACCCACCTCTCCCTGAGGGAGGCCCAAGGGCTTGGGAGAGGGGACCAAGAGTCTTTCCTCTAGTTCTAGGAGGATTGGGGGCCAGGAGCAATGTCCCCACTGGGGCTGGCAGGAATTGGCAGCAAGGGTCCTGTCTAGTGGTTGGAGCTGTGTGTCCAGCCTCGGGCCTTTGGGTCCTGCCACTTGGTAGGGCCTCTCACACCTTAGGGCTCCATGGAGGGTGCCTGCATAGAGCTTTTCTGTGGCAGCCTGTCCTTGTCTGGTTGCCTCTCAGAACAGGACGGTGGTTATAATTTTACAGTGA